AGGCAGTGAGAACAAAGCAGAGGTCAGACAGTGCTCTAACCAAAGGGGTAATTCTGGCTCCATTAAAATCCTCGCTCCTGTTTGCATGGAAGCAGAAGGCTGTGCTACTGCTTATAAAGAGCTGAACCACCCTCAGGCTGACTCATAGCCCTTAACAGAGCTGCCATGCTGATTTTACAAATATTAGAGCAATGCCTCAGATTCAGGGTTTTGTGTGGTTTAACCTATCAACTCGGGAGCAGACCCATAGCTCTTTTATAGAGCTCCCCTTCCCTGTATTTTATTTCCTTTCTGGGTGCCAGAATTGGAGCCAAAGTCGAGCTTAACAAAGCAACAGGCATGGCCATTCTTCCTAGCCCTTATTTACCCTGGTGAGAAGAGAAAAATTAATTTAAACCCTATCGAAAGTGCAAAAGCTGTTTGCCATTTTGTGCTGCAGAACACAGTGTGAACCAAACACTCCCTTGAACCACCTGCACTTGCCAAGCCCAGCCAGGAGCACAGGAACTTGAAGATTGGAATCCTTTTGTTCAGGCACTGGCAACAGACAACGTGATCTAAGGTATTTCTCAGGCAGCAGCAATGGGGATATGCTTGGGATGCAAAGAGAACTTTTACCACATAAAACGCTCTCCTCTTTGAGCCCCTATTCCTGGATGTATGAGATACAGCAAAACTCTTCATGTCCCAGCCTGGGACAGCCTGGAGCAGCTCTCACAGCCTGGGCACAGGGCCATGGGGCTCTCCCTCCCTGCCTGCCCTTGCCATGCCCAGAGGAACCTGCACCGTGCCTGTGTGGGGCTTGCCAAGGCTCTGGCACCACGTGGGAGGGGAGAAATTTGTTGAAGCAGAAAGCAAGCCCAGGAATAACTCCTGCAGCAGTGAATGAGCTGTTGCTGACCTGCCTTGGGGGTCTGGGAGCCACCTGTCCTGCAGCATCTGCTTCTGCTTGCAGTGCTGATTTACTGCTTTAAAGCCAAATTCACACCACAGACTATTTGCTTCTAGTTTGCTGTGCTGTGTTTTCTCAGAGCTCCTCCCTTTGCCAGAGTACTCTCTGCACCACACTCAGCCACGCAGGAGGCGCCTTAGATTCAGATCAAGTCCCCAGGTAGGAGGGCTCACATGAAAAACCAGAAAATTATTAACAGAGTTATTAACATTAGTAAGACCATTTGGTGAGGCCATGTCTGTTCCTAACAAAGAGAAACAATGTGCTTTCATACAAAGGTAAATACTGCAATTAACCTGCTCCCATCCTTGCCTGTGCCATTCATTTCACACCAGCCCCACAGGTGCAGAACCACCCAGCTCTCTGCAGCACCAGGCTCAGGATTAAGAGAAGGAATTCCAATGTACACTGTGACATCCCAGCCACCCCCATCTACTTCAACTCTACCTTAGCTTCCTCAAACCACACCAAACACAACTGAAGCAATACTTTTCAAATAATTTTTCCTCCTCTTCTCCCTTCATACTCAAGAGTTTTTATATGTAGGGAAAATCAAGTTGAGACAACGTGAATTTTATAGCAAAGACAAAAGATCTAACCAAGTTGCTGTATTTAAGTAGCCTTTGGATTTTCACGATGGCAGAATCTTCACAGAGATACCCAAAATCAGCTTAACGCAGCCACAAGAGGGAGTCTGAAATCTGTTACTGCCCAGATGGATTCTGCCTTCTCAACTCTTCAGTACAAGAACACACAGAGAGCTTCAAAAGGATTGTACAGTCCTGAATTGAGCAGAACCATTTGAAACCAGGGCATCTCCAACTGCCAGATGTTTTGAAGAGAGACATTCTCAGAAATGTGCTGTTGTGCTACTGCCATGCAAGTCTGCTGCACCAGAAATGCACAGTCCCACCTTGCTGAGATTTGATATTACGCTCAGATTTTACCCTTCCCACCCACAGTCTGAAAGAATGGAGCAGGTTCTGCTGAATCTGACCCACAGTGGAACAAGCTACAACACTGGCCCAATATTCTGTTAATTTAACATGTGATTAGAAACTCTGGCAAAGCTGAGATCCCACAGCACAAGTAACACTTCTCACAGGGCCAGGGAAATATCTGTGTTGAATCTGTGTCTGCTCTCCATCTGCCAAAAAATTGTCAAGACACATTCCTCAAAAATACTTTTATGGTCTTTACTGAATCTCGACATCCACTTGTTCTAGTTTCCATTACAGCTCCAAAGGGGCATCCAGGTTTGAGAAAAGCCACAGGACTTTCAGCAGAAATAGCTGCCTTCAGGCACTGTCCAAAGCACCACCAAAAGCCTCTGGTAACACTTTCCCAAACATTTAGCCAAGAGATAAGGAAAAGAAACAATTATCACAGAGAGGTTAATGAAGGAAATGCTCAGAGTACAGCTGAATTCTACTTGACTTTATCATTTCATTGTCCTCCTCTGCTGATGTCTTTTGTACTTTCACCTGCTCATTCCTTGAAACTGAAGAGGGAACCTAGGCCAGCAGTTAATTCTGACACTTTAAACCATGATCAGTGTATCATTACTGGATCCCACAGCTCTGACCCAAGAGGCTGTAGATTCAGCTGTCAAGAAACAGAAAATAACCTTAAACCTTTGAGGCTCAGCATAAATCAAAATCACTTTTGTTTTTGCTTACAGTACTGGCCAACTTAAGGGTGGGGTTCCTATCAGGCTGTTGAAAAAACCTGCCCTCCTACTTACGAATGTCTTTCTTTTCAGAAGCAATCTAATAGGAAAAATTACTCTTTAATTGTGATTAGGGGCTGACTACTGGAATGCCCATGCCTGTTAATTCCAAAGCAGATGTTCAGCAGTGCAATATGCTGACAATAGTAAGTTAGTAACAGAACATGGTAAGATCTAAAAACTCCTGATAACTGTTGGAGTGGTCAGCAAAGATCTGATGTGATATGTGTTAACATCCCAGAACAATCCATCCTCCCCTCAGCCAAACCTCACTGCACTCAGCTGAATGTAATTAGACCCCAAGCTTGTCCTAATTTCAGTCTCTGCAGAGAAGGGCTCTCTTTCTTCAGCCAGACATGGCTGCTCCAAGATGGTGGCAGTGATGGCCAAGGAGAAACTGCAAAGGAGCAGCATCAGCTCACAGATTTAGGCAAGGACAGCTAAGACAGCCTGGTATGTACATTAAAATAAAAACACAGCACCTGCCTTGAGTTTCAGTCAATGCACCCCAGCAGAAAGTAGCAAGAACCCAGAAGCCTCACAATGCACAAGCTGTTTTTAGATAAATGTTATACAATTTTCCCTCTAGCTCCATGGATCAAAAACACATGCTGCAGCTATAGAACCATTACAGTTTAATCCCACCTCAAACAAGGAGATGGTAAATCTTCAGATCCTACTACCAGCAGGCTACTCAAGGAGCAGAGCACAGTTCCACTTTGCCATGGTTCAAGTGAGACAATCTCACCAGAGCAGGTTAAACTGCATATTGCTTTGGAAAAACAAGTTCATTGGCTTTTTTTGACCTTGCTATTGGATGGAGGTGAATGAAAGACTAGATCCAACTCCTATGAAAAACTTGACTTTCAGATACTGTAGAAAAGATAAATTTTAAAAAGCTCACTAACTCCTCCATCAAAAAGAACACCACAGTGAAAAATTGGGAAGGATTTGCCCCAAACCCTTTAAATCAGGGTCTTGAGACAGAATAGAACCTCCTTTCCTACCCTGCTTAATGGAGCACAAGATCCTTTAGAAGAAATTTTTTCCTGAAAGGTGTTGAAAATTTAATATGATTTTTCTGATAATGTAGCTTGTGTTCCTCCAGTAGAACAGTCCAAAAAGTGGAAGTCCCTAACCAATGTTGTATGAGCAGCTGGGAAGCACAACAGGGATCTTCATGGCAGAAACAGCACAGCCCCCATACCTAGCAAATGCCAGATTCCACTAACCCCTTGCTCCAAGACAGATTTTAGGTTAAACCTCTCCAGGAGTCCCTTGGAAAGAATGCACAATTATGAGTTGCAAGAGCAAGGGAAGACATTAATGACTTGTTTGTTCCCAGAGTTTCCTTGATCCATGAGGCAATGTTCTCAGTACGTAAGTGAAGCCTCACACCAGTCTGTGATTGATGGGCCAGCAGTCAAAGACTGGAACTGCGTTTGCACACATCCCAGGCAATCCTGGTAATCATGACCAACCCGCTGACGTTACTGGTGCCCAGAGCGTCCCCAGGGCTGTGTGACTGCAGAGAGCTCTGAGCAAAACAGGGAAATGCATTGTTCTCGTTGCTAAGAGTTTAAAGAAGTCTGCTCAGCCATGTCATGGTTTTGGGCTCTTTAATTATTAGTAATACCCAGCACACACCACACAATTTACACGTGCAAGTGCCACATCTCCGCACTTGAGTCACAGCACAGCCTGCCCACTTCACCAGGACCAGAAAAAGAGCCTGCTGCCAAGGGGAGAGGGCTTCAGCTCCCCTTCTATGGGTGGGTTTGGCTGTGGTCTGGGCCTAGAGTGATAGGCATTCTCAGGCAGAGGACGGTCTGTCTTCACCTTCGTAACCTGGAAAGAAATGCAAAGAAGTGATACAAGTTCTCACAGCATTTAACAGCCAGGTTGAGCCAGAACTTCAAGGAAGAACTACCAAGAAGAACCAAACAATAATAAGGGCACACTGTTCAGCTGATGAGAGCTCCTCAATAATTCTAAGAAAAGGGAAGGGAGGGGTGTTTCATCACAGCTACAGAACAGCTCCACGTGAGCATGAGCTTCATTCCTAAAGGAAAAGCCTCTACCAGGAAAACCAAAAAGCAAGAATTTCACTGTCGAAGAAAAGCACAAGCCTTCTGGAAAAGCAACTATGGAAAATGCTGCCAGTCTTGACTCCTACTATCCCACAAATTCCAGCGCCGAGTTCATGAAACATCATCGGGCCAAGAGATGCTGGAGACCTGCTCTGGACAAAACGCTCCCAAAGAGAGGAGAGCAGGATCCACCTGTGTGCCCCGAGGGGTAAGGAGTTACCTTGGAGAGGTCTCCCAGGTCGGGCCTGACCCAGCCCAGCTTGTCCAGCACGCAGGAGTCGAAGGCTGCCTGCTGCTTGCGGCAGCGGCGCAGCTCCTGCTGGTTGCTGTAGTCGATGCACGTCCAGTAGGCCGTGAAGGGCTCGGCGCAGTGCGTCCGGATGCTCCTGGGGACACCACAGCACAGACCCTCAGCACCACACCCAGGCTGCTCATCCCACCCTCAGCTCGGGGCCAAGCGGGGGCTGCAGCTTTCAGTTCTCAGGAACAACTAAACCTTCGCTCAGGTCAGTATTTGGTACAGGTACCTGTGAAATCTCCATCGCTGCAGCTACAATTGATGACAGCAATGACTTAACTGAGATTTTTGCTGGGTGGATGTTCACAGCTTCTCCATGGGATGTGGTGAACACCCCAATGGGATATCTTTGTTTTGCCAAATAATTTAGTTACATTACATGGTGCTCTAATGCTTCCAAATGATTCTGTGTCTAAAGCTCAAAAAGCCATGCTCAGAGCAGAGGTTTCAGCTGCTGCACTGGAGGTGGATATGCCCTGAGGTAATTAAATTAGGTCCTGTACAAACAGCACTGGCATGTGCCTTGGAGCTATGTGTTTGGTCAGGAGAGGCAGGTGGTGCTCCTGCTTAAGCTTTCTCAGTGCTCACTGATGAGACAGGGAGGAGAGACAATGCAATGCTCAGTTGGTTTCTGGAGTTCATCACACAGCTGCAAGGTGCAGCAGCATCACACCACTGCCCTGAGTTCCTAACAAAAACCAAGGCCGCTTGCTCTGGAACAAAGGCACAAGAACTTCAAGTGACAGGATAAATCTATGTAGAAATGAGCAAAACAAAACACATGGCCTCCATACCCAGGAATTAAAGATTAAGAAGAAGGTATAAAATTTTTGAAGGCAGTGATGGCGTCAGTATTTTTAATTAGAATAATGGAATTACAGAATAGTTTGGGTTGGCAGGAACCTTAAAGTTCATCTCATTCCACTCCCTGGTATGGGCAGGGGACACCTTTTACTACACCAGGCTGCTTCAAGCCCCATCCAACCTAGCCTTGGACACTTCCAGGGATGGGGCAGCCACAGCTTCTCTGGGCAACCTGTACCAGGCCTCACCACCCTCACAGGGCAAAATTCCTTCCTAACACCTGATCTAAACCTGCCCTCTGTCAGTGTGAAGCCAC